AAGGCAGATTTGTGAATTAACCTGCATGTGGGTGATAAAGGTTGCAATGGTTTTCCTTTAAGTGTCTGGTGTGGATTGCTATGGAGATATTGGATCATCTACATGAGCATGAACTTTGATGTTTTGAATCACTTTGGCCATGGCTGCCTCAAACGAGTCGGCGGGGGAGAAGGTGGACTCCAGAAACCATCTTATCACCATCAAACTGATGGCCCATGTGAGTGTGCTACTTATGGAACTGAGTTTGTTGTGGCTCCTACACGTTTCAACAAAAAATAAACCGTCCAGATGACCTAATTTAACTTTGTTTTTTGTTGTTTTTTTTTTTTTACCTGGATTATTGAGCATGAACTTTGATGCTTGGTACTCAGTTTTGTCCCCAGATTGGAACCTTCACTTTTTATGAGTTTAAAATGAAATAATAAAGTGTCATTATTTCCAAAACCTCCTGTGTGTGCCATTGAAGGGTCTGACATTTGCTAGCAAGATCTTCAGTGAGTGAGCAGGTATTCAGTAAAACTAATGAATGTGAAGGATCAGCCAGTGGGCGTGCCGGTCCAACCCACTGACGTTGATTGACAGCAGAAGACATTCTACTGAAAAGTGGCATTATGAAATAAATAAGCCATGAAAACACAATTATGAAATAATCCAATTTTTCTTATTTCATAATGTTTAATTTATTTATTTAATTTTGAGCATCTCGGTGTTCCATACACCTGGACAGATTATTTTTGAAAATATTCTGTCCAGATGACATGATTTAGATTATTATTATTTTTTTAAATCACACTCAAATTGTCTGAATAAAAATACGACAAATTTAAAGAGACAGTACGACATTTCGTAGTTTCTTATCCGGCAACCCTGGAGCTCTGGACTGATGGCAGAGCGTCCTTCCTCTGACGTAGTACGAGCTCCATGTGCATGTGGAATGAAACTAAAGTTAATAACCGTTACCGGTGAGATTAAGCAGGTTAAAAGGGTAAATCCCACCTGCAATCTCTTATTTATTTATTGCACCTTTTATTATCTTGGATAATATCTGTATCTGCTCCTGGAACCTGTAACACCTTACAAAAAGATCTGAAGCTTCTCTCTTTGAGGGGTTTTAAACATTTGATAATGTCAATAGAAATATCAAAGCAAATTTGTTCTTGTTTTTAGTGTTTTACCTTATCCTGATACATGCTCAATAATCTAGGTAGAAAAATCTAAAAAAGTTAAGTCTGGTCCTCTGGACATTCAAAAAAAACAAAAACAAAGCAAAACAAACAGAAAAAAAATGTAGAAACGTTTCGTCTTTCATCTGAAAGCCTTCTTCAGTGTTTTACTTTGTTTTATATGGCTGATTTGACTGTGTTCATAACTTATTTTATTTGATTTTATTGCTTTCTGCCTGTTAAAAAAAACAGGTCTCTTGAAAATGGGTCGTCGTGACTAACATGTATAAATAAAAGTCGACTGAAAAATATCTGAGAGATGTGATCCTTGTCAGATAGGTGGGCACCAATCTTGAACGCAGCATTAATATTGAGAATCCTGATTATGTCCATGGATGTGACTTTGTTTCAATTTGTTATCTCTTTAGTGCGTTTTTGTGGTAGCCTAAAAATAATAGCAGCTTATTTTTTAAGTTATTTAGCTGAAATGAAACCGATTCATGTGAAACAAGAGACAACCACAAACCGCGCTGCTGTCCGTCCCTCCTGCTTATTTTTATAAGCAGGTCCGCCCGCGCTGCTTCTGGGATGTGGTTATTCGCGGGGACGTGGCATCCCGATGAGCAGACACAAGAGGCTGCGCGCGCAGGACGGAGGTTCGTTCTTTTCCACGTGGAGCCTGTCATTTACTCGAAGTGGCGCGTGCAGTAGCCGTTGGCGCAGTGCAGAGCTGGAGGGGAGGGAGTGGAGGCGCGCGCGCAGGACACAGTTGTTCTCCAGACATGAACCTTTTAACCTGAACAAATCAGCGCTTTCTGTTTCTTTTTTTTTTTAATTACCTGTTTGCAAGCCGACTGTACGGACAGGTAGGGCCATTATCCGTCCAGGAATAGCCTTGTTTATCTGCCGTGAGTAGCCTGTTCTCCTCGTTCGTTCAAATGTTTAACTGAAGCCTTAATAGTGAAGCTACACTTTCAACTATAGGCGTGTTTGAACGTTTTTCTTTCCTGGTGAAAACAGCGAGCCGTGCATGCTAACATTGTTACCGCCCAGCACAGCAGGGACTGAACTGGTGATGATAATCATAAATAAAATTATAAAACTTAATCCAACCCAAGTTCCCTCTTTGATTAGTTATCTGATTCTGATTTTCAGTATTCTCTGACCAGTGAGATGAGAGTAAACTACACAGATGGTAATATGAGATAATGTTTGTGCTTGCAGGTGTAATGGAGTCTCACCTGGACCGGCTGGTTTCATGTCTTCTCTCTCTGTACCTGCTCCTGCAGCTGGGCCGGGCAGCACCGGGCCTACCTGGAGCACAGAGGTAACTCCACTGTCAGGAAGCTTCCACACCGCACACACAGCATATCTAAAGTTGTTACAGTGGAAATCTAATTCAGCAAGATATAGTTCATAAACCATTCTCTAGTTTTAAGAGATTGTTTTCTTTAATAAAAGGAGTTATTGTCATTGTAAGCTTCACTTAAGAATTTTTCAAGCATTCTTTATGAAAATGTGGTCAAAGTGAAGGAATATCAAGACTATGAAGGAGACAAGAATATTGGATGTTTTTAATTTTATGATTTTTATTTTATTCAGAGAAAACTCAGCAGATGTCCACCCCACACTCCTCAATCCCTTTGGAACTGGAGAAGAGGACCGCAGGTGAAAGTCCTGCTGATGCACTTCTGACTCATCTGAAGCCATAAATAATTTTCTGTTGTCATCTGAAAGATAATCATCATACAGACAACCTCTTAGCTCTATTGCAACAGGTTTTTTATACGGTCTTCACCAATCTTGATGAACTTTTACATTGTAAACAAAGAGTAAACCTTTTTTGTCTTTTTCCTACTGCTTTTGATTCATAATAATAATTACCAAACTCTACATTCATTGTCCCAGATAGTGTCTTATCACATTGCTTTAGTTGTTAGTGCTGAAATAGGACAAGACATGTAAATCATCTCCAACTTTTAAATTTAAATTTGCTGCCACATTTATAATAGTAACTCCACTTTTTGTCCGTGTTTGCTTTATTTTTGCCGTAATCATCCCATAATGTGTTAGTAAATTGTACTATATCCTGTTTGTTACAGGTTGTTGCAGAGTTACGTGCAGTCCAGTCTAAAGAACAGCCAAGGAGGACCTGAGATCAGTTCCTGGGAACAAGGTAGACCATGCACCTGCTATATAAAGTTTCTATCAGTTTCAGCATTTGTAATATTTGATGCACTCGTGGGTTTTTATTCCCCACTCACCAGCTTTTTCATTAGATAATTTATTCCCAGTTTGATTATTTTTGTTGAACGTTTGGCTGGTGGCCATCCTTTCAGTGTCCTCTTTTGGATTTGTCTTCTGCAACAGTTCTGACTGCAGGTTCAGAGTGTCTTGTTCATAAAATGATGAAGTCCTTCCTCCTGGTGGCTTTCAAACTGTTCAACTCCTCCCCCTTTCTACAAAGGGGAGAATAAAAATTAATCCTGCACTACAATAAACACTTTAATGTTTCTGTCTGCACCTGACCTGTTTTAGACCTTAATTGTTGATATTTTTATACCTCTGTTATTTTTTATATTCTGTTATTTTTACATATTGTGTGATTCCTTGTGTATGTTCCTTTGTATTGAAACTTTGGCACAACAATTTCCTGTGGGGTCAATAAGGTTCTATCTTGTCTTAACTATACATGTGCTTTGTTTCAGAGGTGTTCTTTCTGTTTCGTCTGTATGACTATGATCGCAGCGGGTTTTTAGATGGCTTGGAAATGATGAAGCTACTCTCTGACTACAACTCCCATCATACACCTGGAGCAGAGGCCAGTGAGCTGGTGAGTGAAGGAGTGTGTAGGTGGTGTGTTTGAGTCATTATGGTATTTGTGTAGATGCCTATCTCCTGCAGACTTTTAGGGCTGTTTGTTCAATCTGTTTTTTGGCCTCAGGTGGTCTTGATGGTAGACTTTCTACTGCAGACTCAGGATCTAAACCAGGATGGCCTTCTGGACCCCTCTGAACTGCTCTCTCCTTCATTCATTCACACACAGGTACTAGTCACACAGATTTAGTGCTATTGAGCTCTGCTAAAACCCAGAGTTTAACTCCAGCTTTTTTGTTTGTGCAGTAACATTAATGCACACTGTCTATCTTAAGGACTCAGTCAACAGAACGCCTCAACAGGAGCAGGAGGTGCCAGTGCTATCAAACAGCCTTATTGAGGAGGAGAATGTAGCGGAGCACAAGCAGGAGGCGGCACATGAAGAGCTTCGGCCTGAAGTGGACGATCAAGCTCAACAGGAAGTAGTTGGAGTCAAGGAGGAGCCAATGAAAGAAACAGATCAAGAAATCCCCGAAGCTCCAGCAGGAGAACAGCAGGTCCACGACATTCCTTTCCATCAGGGACAGCCAGAGATATAAAAAACACACAGATGTTGCACCGCTCGTCCTGTCTTATTGAAAATTGACACATGGGTCAAAAGTACACAAGAAGAATGACTCATTTTTATTCCTACGTACAATGTTTCTCTAGATCTGAACTCTGTTGGCTACTGTCAGCTCTGGACTAGAGAACATTTAGATAATGGGTTAAAATATTTGTTAAAATGTTGCAATTTTTTATTCAGTTTTTAAATGGACAAAAGTTTTAAATTGTATTGCTTTCTGTAATATGTCATGATTAGTAATTAATGCATTTCTTACCGAAAAACAGTTGGTTTACTTTATTTATTTACTATTTTTCTGTCACGTCATGCTTTTAAACAAACATGTTTTACTCAACAATATATCATTATGATGCTGAATTAAAAATATACATCTCTATAAACCCTTGTTTCTGTTTGTTTTGTTGTTTTTTTTTTTTTTTTTTGGGGGGGGGGGGTTGTTTTTTGGTAAAATCTGATGGGATTTGTTATCTGTTGCTTTCCAGAGAGCGATAATTTGATCTTAAGTTGACTTTGTAAAACCAGTGGCATGTATTATAGTCTACATAAAAACTTATTTGTCTTTTTTGAGATCATTGTCCACATTTTTTTATTTTAATTTTAATTCAAACACCCACTAAAATTTAATTTACTTTCTGCGACCTTCCCATCTCAGATCCACATTCTGTAACCTCTTCGCCACCACTCCCATGTAAAATGTTATTTTGTTACTTGTCTTTCATTTGTTAGCATCTTTTAGAACCATGTTATGCAGCTTGAAAATAAAACATGTTTCCTTATTTGTTTTTGTCTCTTTAGTCTCGTCAGTCTTTTCTTTTTATACACCTGTGGAAAGGCGGATAAATTAAACTGTTCTTAAACTTTCTCTTGTCCGGTCAATAACTTCTGATCTGCTCAACATAGTTTAACAAAACTTCCTACACATTATGCATCATCATTACACGGATCGTCACAGACACTTTTCATCACCCCAGCTGTAGGTCGCAGTCACAAATCAAGGTCAAAGTTAAAACCAGATCATTGCTTGTCCGGGTCATTGCTATAGATCGCTGTATAATAGTTCATTGACAGGCTTATCATGTGCCGTATGTAGTACTGCACTTTTGTCTGATATCTTGCAATTATTTAAATTATTTGACATAAGGTTGTATAGGCAAAAGCACAGTTAAATAAAAAGGGTTGCGTAAGAAAGAGTTGGAAAAAGTGCAATTTATCTGATTCATATATTTACAAATAGCCTACAAACATGGAGAGTAAAAGTGAATGAAGAGCAGAGTGAAGAAATGTGGTCAAATTTGTCCTCCAGCAGTCTATAGCAGCATATTTACGAGATAGCACTGGAAACTCAAGCCAACCCAAGCTATAGGATTTATTAAAATTTCAAGTCTTAAGCCTGGTTTTAAAAGTAGACAATGTGTCATCATCACGAACAGAAAGCTGTTCTCACAGAAGAGCATGATGGCTGAAAGCTCTGCCTCCCATTTTACTTTAGAAACTCTAGGAACTACAAGTAAACCTGCAGTCTGAGAGGTTTTTTTTAATTTATCCAAATGTATTCTTTTTTAATTTGTCGTTTGGAGACGGGGTGTTAAATATACACATTTTAAATTATTATCAAAGTAAGTGTGTGTTTGTGTAGAGCATGGAGGCTTCTTCTGTCGTCATATCGTCCATATTTATTAGAAGCTAGGTGGCGCTACACTCATCTTCCACATTGGTAAAACGAAAAAAAAAACGTCCTGGTCTGCTCTCACGCATTACAACACGAAAAAGAAAGATTTTGAAAAACTTTTTACACGAAATAATTAACAGAATTTACCTGCGTGAGGAGCAGTGAGAGCAAAGCGGAAGCGTGGATGCAGATTTTTTTTTTTGGCGCATCAAAACTCGGTTGCTTAGCAACAGACAACCATCTTTAAAAATGGCGGAAAACAGCAAAAGCACAGGTTTGTACGTGTTGTTTAAACTTAGACAAGTCACACAGTTCCTAAAAAAATTAAAGAAATAAAAACTTATTTTACAAAGGCATGCTTTTGTCTTACTAAACATGCAAGTCGTTTCCTTGCTAATTTCCTTGTTTCAGAAACATTGTCGGATATTGAAAAGAAGATAAGTTCGACTTTTAAAATGTTTGACTGCTTGTCCAACAACACGGTGGACGTTCGGTGAGTTAAAGAGCACAAACTGGAGAGAAAACACGGTCACACACACAAACACAATTAAATTAAATTAAAAACTCTTCGCTGCTGATGTTCTCCCATGGTGTTGATGTTTTTAATTACACGATTACTGCTTTATTTAAAATGCAATAGCATTAAAAGTAGTATTAAAAATATTGTTTCTGATATTTCAAGTTGAAAGTTCAAAGCTACAGTTTGTGACCCAGAAACAGCTCCGTTTGGCTTAAGAATGTAAATGGGAAAAAATTATAATTAGTATGTCTGTAGGAAATATTTCTCCCCCTGTGTATTTATAATTATATCTATGGGATGCCAAATGTGAATCATTATGTTTGAATGTTTACATTTGTAAATCCCTACTTTTCCACAGCGTATTTTGCATCTGTGAATTAGAAAATTATAAGTTTACAGTGTTAACACAAAACAGTAACTACAGACAATTAATATGTAATAAAATAAGCTTGATTAAAATATGATGCCATATTGTTTTTGTTTTTATTTATTTTGCTTTGGCTTTCCATTTTTTTGTTATTCTAGGTCAGGGGTCTGCAATCTGCGGCTCTTTGGGGCCTCTGCAGCGGCTCTTTCAAGCTTTGACCAAAACTGACATAAAACTGAATTTTATTGGTTGTTACAACAACTAAAAGGGCTAGTTTTAGCAGTTTTCCTGTAATTTATTTTGCAAATATATGAAGAAACATCACAAGGAGTACTCACTTTCACTTTACGCTTTATTTCTTCAAAGTAGGATACGTCATTTTTCTACAATAATAAAAAAAAAATCACATAAGAATGCATAGTTTATTGTTTTAGTTTTAAAAACTGGGCAAAAACTATGTTATTTTTTTTCCTTCTTTACAAGAATCTCATCTTTTATTTTTGTCTTAGAATATAAAAAATATCAATAAATGTTAAAAATCATTAGATATTTTTAGTTTTATAAAATCACCCCTACTGTCCAGAAAAGTGCCTTCCAACAAACTTAAAGTGGTCTGTGGGCCACCAGTTGAGAATCCCAGTTGTAGCAGGTATTGTGGCTCCGGACACGTTTAATTTAGTGAACAAAGGGACAGAAATGGCTCTTTTGATCGTAAAGGTTGTAGACCCCTGTTCTAGATAAAGCAGGCAGTTTCCTTCTTACGCCAAACTCTTTCTAGCAGCATTGAAAACGTTAAAATCATAATAACATGCATATTAACAAGTAGTGTGTGATGTATTTTATAATGGAAGCTATCTTTAAATTATTGTCATATGTTTGTTTTCCAGTGAGATTGGCACCATCATCTATTCACTGGGACGCCACCCCAGTCAGGCAGACATACACGCCTTCATAGCTGAGGTCAGGACACAATTTGTATGCATATTTTAGTTAGTATGATGAATATAATTTAATCACACAAAATGTTTTGATGTGCAACCATGAAAAAGAGTTGTGGAGATGGAAGGGTTGGGGTTGACTATTATTGCACATTTTACACACACCACAGTGTCTGTCAGTGTCTTATTTCATTCAGATGAATTAATTTTAGTGTAAATGAAGTGTTGCACTTGAAATATACACAAAAGTCCAGTGGAAGTAATTTAAAAGCTTAGGCTTGCTGACGCTTGACACTATAAATGTCCGTTTGGTTTGAAAGTTTAAAGTCTGTGAAATAGTAAAAGCTTGTTTTGTTCAACCAGGTGGAAGAGGATCATTTAGGATATGTTCATTTGGACAAGTTCCTGCCAGCCATGACCAAAATACTATTGGAAAACAAGTAAGGTTCTGTTTCCAATGTACTACAAAAAAAAAGTTAAGCTTTCTTTAAGCGCTCTTTAGTCTAACAACTGTTAACCAGTGATTGTTTCGGTTCATGACCTACTTTGTTTAAACATTCATTTCATGGACTGCTGGAATATTGCTTTCATTTAGGGTTCCCTTTTATGATCTCATCAATGATTGCACACAAATTTGATCAAATATAAAAAACAATTTCAGTTTGATTTACTTTTATTAGTTTAAAGTGACCCGAAGAGTAAAAAGTTAGGAAAAATGCATTTATTTTCATTTACATTTATTTAGGTTTCTTCCTGACCATGAGGACCGTCTTCTTCAGGCTTTTGAGGTGAGAGCATCCACTGATTGGTTACATCTTTTAGTGTTACACTTAAAACATGTTAGCGGACAGCTTTATGTTGCAACTGTACAGCCACTACATTTTCTCTGTTGCACCACCATTATTATTGTCATTAACTATGTTTCCAGGTTCTGGACAAAGAAAAGAAAGGATACCTAGAGCCTAAAGAGTTGACAAATTACATGACACAGGAAGGTAAAGCACAAGCAGAAAAAGCCTAAATAAATTGGTAAAAGAAAAAAAAAAGGGTTAAAAAACACAAAACAGCTGGACTTCTATTCTGAAGCTGAAGATGTTTCACTTCCCATCCGGGAAGCTTTATCGATTCAAAAATGTCTGAAGTGTGTGGAGCTGCCTTCTTTCTAGAACTGCATGAGAGGCCTGATTCACATGCTGGTTAGACTGGAACTACTCACCCTCACAGTGGAGGCTCGTCACTCTCTTTGTCCACCTGGCTCATGGGAGATGTTTTGGTCACGTGCATGAAGGTGTGAATTTAAGTGGAGCAGACTGGGAACCAGTGTCTCTTATCCTTGAGATGTACTGCTGAGTTGTTCTGAAGAGCTGCTGTCTGGTGTTGAGCCATGAGTCTGAGGTGAGATTGTTTAATTTCTCCAATATAGAGGTCTGAACATTCCTCAGTGCACTGAACTGCAGACACAACACTCAGCTTTGGTTTGAGGGTTCTGTCTCTGAGATGGACCCAGTCTGTCTGATGGTCCTGTTGGATTTAAAATTCATTCAACCTTTATTTAGAGAGGTAAATCCCATTGCGCCTCGAGGACTCATTTACGAGACCTGAACATGTACTAGATGTTGTGTTTGGGGACAATCCTTCTGAGTTTTTCAGATACTCCAGAAACATATAGGATGACAGTATTCTTGTGTTTGCTCTTCTCCCTGTTCTGATCTACTGTGTGTTTTTGGATTAATTTGCTGATTTGACAAAGGCCCTGATGGATATTCACAGGTGTGGAGAACTTGTCTGATGCATTTCTGTTCCTTTTCCTTCCCTTCTGTCTTTGTGGGGACATGTTCGGCCCGGTGGTGTGAAGTTCTAATGACAGAAAGTTTGTGTTCCAGTGGGTGGTGAGAGTCAAACAGAAGATCTGTAAACTTCAATGTTAAAGGCTTCCATCTCTTTCCATGTTCTTCATGGAGCTCCACACACTCCAGACATTTTGGAATTGATACTGGATAGAAAATGCAACATCTTCAGCTTCAGAATAGAAGTCCAGTCATTGTTTTTATTTTATTTAACCCTTTTTTGAATTTATCATGACCTGGATGTTTGAGAATCTTCACCAGTAAATCGGAAAAAGCAAACTGGTACATTTGCGTGCGTGGAGCCGTTTCTGAACTTCTGCTGTGTTGTGCCTTTAAACCAGGTGAACCCTTCACCAACGAGGAGATGAAGGAGATGCTAACTGCGCATGCTGATCGCAAAATGAACCGTGTATACTATTACAAGATGATCAGCAAATACAGACCGTGACATGTGGCCCAACGTGGGTCATCATAGGAAAACACTGTATTTTTATCTGTTTGTGCTGTCATTGCATAGAAACACATATATTGTTCAATTTGTTTTCAAAATCATTTAGAATTCAAATAACTCATCGAGGAAATTTGATTTGAGAAAATTAATTAGTGCACGAGTACAGTGACTTATCCATTTTATAAGTTTGGCTATAGCAAAATATAGTTTATTATTTTGCATTATATTTCCAAACCCAGCAATTATTTTTTTCCATACCCAATTAACAGTACAGTACATATAAAGTACTTTGTATGATGCAATTTAAATTTACAGAAATAAATATTTCATACTGTTGGTATGTGCTCCTTCTTAAAATGGTTTTGGGACAATGTACAGGAACTAAATGTGCTCCTGGTTTAGAGTTTATGAAAGTTTATGAAAGCTGCTGAACCGAACTTAGGATCTCGACTCAAAATACAAAGATAAAATCTGGGTCTTAACATAAAAAAAAACTTATTAACTCTACAGCAGGATGTTTAGTGTGTTTAACATTATAGGCTGGTTGTACTATAAGAAACATTCCAAGTTTAATTCCTGGACACCTTAGATATATACTGTATCACAGTTTTGCAGCAATACTCTTAAGAACGTCATATTTTGAAATGTGTCCTTAAAACATTTAATGTAGTAACATTACATCTGATGATGTGAGATGCAGACAGTGAACAAAGTAAAATGAATTAAATTATACAAATGAAGGTAAAACAAAATATCCTAATAAAGTGATGAAATGGAAATAGCTAACTTTAGTTAAAAAACAGAAATTTGTCATCGTTGGTTCATGTGACAGAAGCTGTAATGTGAAACTGTTAGCTCTACGTTGTATCTGAGGGAAAATAAATCATTTAATTTAAAATGGCTGTGATTTAGATCAGTGACACCCTGTATAATGGAAGAAAATAAAGCAATGAATGAATGCTAATCAGCATAGACTTTTTAATCTCAGATCATTCATGCACGTTTGACAAACAGGTAAATTATAGAACGCAGGTGTTCTAACTTACCTAAAGCTTTGATAAGTGTTGGCAAACACAAGCAGTCCCCTTAATGAACAAGAGTTTGTGCTACAGATCAATTTTAATCCACAAACAGCTGGTATTTAATCACAATTTAAACAAATGCACACAATAAACCCAGAAATATGAAAATTAGAAAATATTTCTCATTTTCACCACAATCAAGTAAAAAAACAAACAGAATAAGGCTCATTAATACCCAGCTTCACCGCACATGATCACATCAATATAGTTTTCACACAGAAAAATAAAATTAAAGGGATTTCCACAAATTAAAATTCTTCTTTCTTGACCTCAAACGTAACAACGTGTTCTTCGTAAAAAAAAAAATTGTGAAAAGCAATGAAGTCCTCCAACTTGGTAAAACATTACTACTAGAAGGAATGCTCATTTTTGTGCATAGTGAGGAAAACGGTATCTTTTCAATGTAGGTTCAGTTGCACCACTAAATAAAACAGAATATTAAATAATTTATTGTAGTAAAATGGCTCTTCATAAACCCTTTTTTTTTAAGAAATTGGAATTAAGAAAACATTGCTATGAGTAAGTGGTAGGGTAATTCCTAAAGTGGTATGTTAAAGGCAGAGATGCCTGCCTCCTAATCCTAACCCAAGTGAGGCAGGGATTAAACGTAACATATAACATATGAATGGTCTACTATTTCACATGCATCAGGGGTAAAAGCAAATAAACACGGAGTTCAACAACTGAATGTTAAATAAACTACAGATCAGGCTTTGTTCCACTCAATCCAGCAATTTAATGCGAGATACATATTTTAGTAACATTTCCCTGAACGCAGTCTTGTCTAAGACGGTTTTCATTGGTGATTTGGTCATTGGAGAATCATTGGCTGTCAGAAAATTATTTTAAAAAAAAAAACAAAAAAAAAACCTGGAAATTAAAAGGAGAAACAAACATGGAGTGGAAAATGTTGGCATCATAGCCAGCCAACACTGGTTACTCAACATTGTTTTCCCAATATTGCACTGCAACTAAACCACTAAGAAACGACAACTCGAACACAAATCACCACGCACACCTTTCACATATGCCGGGAAGAACAGGAAATTTCCTTCATAAATCTGTCTCTGTCTAAAAGAATCAGAGAGCAGAAGGAAGAAATTGTTTAAATGTGAGGTCTTCCCAAAGACTGGCTCATCTGAAACAAATTCATTTGCTCAGCATTAATAAGAAGATTCAACCATTTTCAAATCTTCTAGAAACGTTAACTGCATAGCTGCATCCCACGTTAAAATATAATTGATCTTTTTGTGCAAAACATCTGATTTAATCCAGCCTAACCAAATTTGATCTCGTTCACACCAAAGGTAAGTTATGCAAGGCCTCAGAGAAGATCACTAGAGTCAGATGATGGATTACAATGACCTACCAGTTGAAAATGTCTAACAGGACTCCAAAATAGAAACTGGAAGCAAATAATTTATGCAATTTAGAAAAGACAGCAAAAACCACACATTGTAAGTAGATGATGAAGACCAAGGCGGGGCAAAATGGACGGCTAAATCCTGAACTAGGTTAAACACCTAAATTTTGAAACTCCAGGACCTCTGGCTGGAGTAGAAATAAAATAAAACCGCAGTTTAAGCATTTATTATGTTCTTTTGCAACTCACTAAAAACAAGAACTAAGACAATATGGATATTCAATATGTGCTGGCCTGGCCTGATTAGAAGCCATCCATGATCTGACTCTGAAGTAATTTCAACGGATTTCGTTCGTCAAGTCTTTGGGCCATGAGCTGCAAATATGATACCTTTACTGGTATCCGATGGCCGGAGTGCATCAGACAGAGATCAAATTTCCAGAGTCACACTGTTTGCCAACATTGGTTAGCCCCAGACATAAAGAATATTTGGTCTCCCCGTTTTAAATCTGCAGCACCAGACCGGCAGCTGAGATGTTGTCCCCTCCACCAGCGGTTTGGTAAACTTCAGTGCAAACCAGCACTGGGGCTACACAGATCTGGTAGTCGTCCTCGTCCCAGCAGCTGACCGGTCTGGTTTCCTGCAGAGGGATCCGCTGGCTACCCTCACGGTGACTAACAGAAAACGAGTCGTCCATGATGAGCCTCGCCTTGCTGGGGTCAATGTCATTTGAGCCGCAGACGTGACGGTTGGCTGTGAGCGAGGCCTTGGCGATGGCAGACATGGTGTTCTTCCACTGAGAGCTGTGCGTCACGATCATGGCCTGAAAGGCCAACGTGTGGACGTGAAGTCGGGTAAGCGGCTTACTCTTTGATTTTGAACTGCCCGAGTCACTGTTTGAGCTGGCGTCCTTGTGGCGCTGGTTCAGGATACGATAAACCTCCCTCATCTGGTCGAGGACAGTCGCCACACGAGGGTTTGGGTCTGACAGCACCGTGATATTGGAGCCCTTGAGTAGGCTCAGAAGATTAGGAAGTTCTTGTTCATTCATCCCTAAAGAGTCCGCCTGGGAACGCAGAGATAAGTACAATAAGAAATAAAAACTATTTAAAAACACTTTCATGTATAGTAATTAAATCTGAACTACCAGTAAAGACTTTTGATACTAGAACCAATTGACTAATAACTAATTAACCTGAAGTACAAATCAGGCAGATAAAAATTTAAACTTTCTGATATCATCTGAATGTTTTCTCTAGAATGCTTCTCTTTATTTTTATTCCTGAACAATGTGCTTCAAACTGCATTTTCAACTATTCAGTCGTACATACGTGGGGGATGACATAGTGCAGAAGGTCTTCCACAATACTCTCATCTACAAAACTCGCCATCTCAAAATGAATGCCGATCTGAGGTGACGAGGAGGACAGCAGGTTTTCCAGCCGAGAGAGAACAGCCTCCCGCTCACCTAGAGTAAAGAAAGGGACAGCTAGAAGGTTAGACATGGAGTGTAGGCAAAAAAAGAAGAAGTCCTGAGTGATGTGAAATGTGTGAAGTTGTAGATTTAAATAACAACGGTGTATAATAAAAAGTGGACTGTATAAAATGTACTCAGACCAAACAATTTTAAGGGTTTTAATAAATTGTGACGTTCCACAACAACCCTCACAAACCAGATGATAAAGCAGGCTGGCAGTAGTGTGGTGAAGCAACAGGAAGTAGAGCTAGCAAGTGAAAAATCTTTTTTTTTTTTATACCTGACTGGAAAGGGAAGTTGTCCATCATTTGTAGCCCTCCCACCACTATCAGATCAGGTCTGAAGTTGTTGAGTTTCTTTGAAAAGTCTTCCATGGAGTCCAAGTAGGGGTTATGGTCATCACTGTGAATGATGTATCTGCAGAGCACGAGCAAAAAAAAAAAAGTAAGTTAGTACAGAGCCGTAGATGTGCATAAACACCATTTATGAACTTTATCTGTAATGTTCCTCTGTTCTTTTCTAAATGCATTTTAATTTAAAAAATAAACACAAACCTATTGGCTCTACGAGCAGTATAGTGGCCCCAGCTAGCACCGGATGAATATTCCAGGATCAGATGAATATCTGGCTCTTCCACCTCTCTACCAGCCACTGGAGAAGCATGATAAGGGGGAAAAAGGAAAAGCTAAAGCAGTGTTCCTCGAAGGAATCCATATCATCCATACCCTGCAAGCCACAGTTTTAAAGATCCTGCATGAACTATGAGTTGACTCCAAAGGTTAACCAGTATAGATGCGGCTGTCAATAACTGCAGTCTGAGCATTTTATTTAATCTAATCTATACAGTGGTTCATGAGAGATTTTGCTAACGGACAGAAAAGTCAACAAACACATGCGCACAAACACACACACACAGGCAATTATGTCACCCATCTTTCATAGCAGCATGCAACACATACAATATTCTGTTTTTATGTGTTTTTTTTAAATAAAACTTTTTTTTCCAAGGGTGCGTCAGTGTTTGTACCTGTAATGTGCCGAGACAGGACATCAGTAAAATCTGTGCTGAAACTTCCCCCTAACAACACGTCACATCCCTCTGTTGCCATGCGACCGGCCATTACTGGAGCGTTGCCGCCCACAGACCACCTGTTGCCAGGTAAGTCACGAGCCTCCTCCACCAGCTCACTGAAGAGGGTTTCGTTTAACATAAACCGCCTGTGGCGGGGAAGGAAGAAAAGATGCTCAAACATTATAAGTTCAAGTCCTAAACAAAGCGCTGAAATTTACTTTAATCAGTATGTATAAAATGTGTACTATAAAAATAATTACAAACTTTGTCAATAAAATAATTGTAATAATGGCTATTTACTTTAACATACTGGTAATCCCCCACATTAAACTGCTCTTCATCAGATGTCACTTACTCTGCTGCAGCTCCGGGTGCAAAAAAGTAGGCAAAGCTCTGAGCCAGCTGCTCAGTACTTTGTAAGTAGTCGTGATGCAGGGGCTGGTCGGTGTGAGAGATGCCAATCTTGTTTAGAAATGACACACCGTCGACTATCAGGTCAACACAGCCTCCAAAACCTGTAGACAAAAGGACAGAAAGATAAACATATTTAAGGTACAACAACCTGCCCATGCGGTACGGTGGCGCAGTTGGTAGAGCTGACGCCTCTCAGCGAGAACGTTGCTGAATCGAATCCCGGCCAGGGGCCTTTCTGGGTGGAGTTTGCATGTTCTCTCCGTGCACGCATGGGTTTTCTCTGGGTACTCGGTTGTTTGCCTCGTTTATCTCTATATGTCCCAGTGATGGGACTGGAGACCTGCCCAGTCCCCCACCTCCCACACAGTGACTGCTGGATATGGGCACCAATGACTCTCACGATCCGGAAATGAAGGATAAAGATAATGGATGGAATGATGGAAGGTCCTTCCCAGCATAAGATAAATAACTATATATAAAACTAAAAAAATGTAAGAAAGAGAGAGGAAATGCAAAAATTGAAGAGTTCAGCAAAAACAAAGCAATGAAAACTGAAATGTGCAGGTTTGTCCAGCATGTATGTTTAGAGTTTACATTTGAATCAGTTTTGAATATTTGTCTTCCTTGGACCTAAAGTCACTTTGCTTTAGCTCCATTTTTTTTTCACTGCTCTAGAAGATGCATTTTTCAGATAATTTTGGTCTATAATAAACTACAGTGAAGCATTTTGGTTGTGTTTTGAGCCGATATGTTTAACAGGCCAACGTTATTGTACGGCCCCACTAAACTGGTGTAAGACCTGACAAATCTAATTGCAAAATGTGTTACAAAAAACCACCAAAACAACTATGGATGACTAGCAGCAACAAATTGTGCGTGTGGCTGAACCTGCTGTTAAAAAGAGTAAAGGTTAACAGATAGTGATTTGTACTTTGGCATCATAATCCAAAGAACAAAAGTTTGGAATTGGATCACAACATTCAGATGTTTGTCAACAATCACAAACATTTTGTTTAAAACGGTGCACATTTCTTTCTCTTCTTCTCCTGCACATGATCCATATATATGCAGGAAATGACTCAAATGTATTTGGATGTGTGCCTCATCAGGTCAGACTTGATGACAGCCACAGTGAAGCTGTAAATATGATTTATGGTGGATCACAGATCACAACAGCTGCTCTGACCTGGGCTGACTTCCTGATCACTTCTGTAAACTCACCACTTCGCCAACACCACATGAGTTGGCCTCAACATAAACATCGATTATAGTTCTCTTTCTTGATCAACCTTGCAAAAAATATCCTGAAATGACAATATGCGGAATTTGTTATTTTACTGAATATACTTCTCAATTTTAAATCGCACTCGTCACCTTTATTTGCATTCATTGTAAATAAATACACTTGTTAAAATTAAGCTAAAGTAGTTAGTTTTACTGGGAGCTAGTTTTGATTCAATATATTTTGCAGTTTCACCATTATTAAACGAAAATCTTCACCGTTAGCTTAAGTGATTCTAGCAAATGCTAGCTTGCTGTCATCACCCTCGCACCACCAGCACCTACCGATCGCAACTCTGGGTCTGGAGTTAAGCCTCCCGACTTTTCTTTCGGCCCGGAGCAGAGACGAAAGGACGGTGTCCAGTCGGTCATCCAGGACCGAATTCTGCGGTGAACGAAACCAGAAGGCCAACAGAACAACAAACAGGGACACGACAGAACCATATTTCACCCACGGCAACCTGCCTCCACCTTCCATCGTCGCTCCGTCCTTCTGCCTTCATTCCGGCCGGGGTCTCCCGCAGCCTAAAACAAACATCAGGGTTGCCAGGTAGAAAATTACGTAATCTCGGCCCTGAAGTCACTTTACTTTAGCTCCATTTCATTTTCACTGCTCTTCAGATACATTTTTGCAGACAATTTGGGTCTATATTAAATTACTGTGAAGCATTATGGTTGTATTTTGAGCTGATATGTTAAACAGGCCAAAGTTCCTGTATGACTCCACTAAACTGGTGTCAGACTTGACAAATCTGTGTGCAAAAATATCTGTGCAAACTGGTGTAAGACCTGGCAAATCTGTGTGCAAAAATATCTGTGCAAAATATGTTACAACCCCCCACCCCTCCACCCCCAAAATAAATAAATAAAAACGGATGACTGGATGACTAGCAGCAGCCGATCGTAAAATAATACGATCATTTTCGTAAATTTGGCAACGCTGAGGCCCCGCCCTAGCCACAGTTACTAACGCGCATGCGTAAGAACACATCGCCCCAGAGTCGTCTACACAAATGTCATCCAGGCGGGGTCGGCGTTTAAACTCGTCACTTGGTCCTTTGCACCTTTTTATTGACTTTTATATACAAACGTAATTATAAATTTGTTTAGCTGGTAATTTCAATTGAAAGAGCGAATTGTCCTCAACGTGCAATTTTGCCGGGTATCGGATTGACAATAGGTTTGACTCCATGCCAATTTTCATTCATTCAACCTTTATTTAGACAGGTAAATCCCATTGAGTCTCGAGGACTCATTTACAAGAGAAACCTGATTTCAACAAAGAATGATGACAACAATGGACAACAGCGACAACAATAAACTGTTATGAAAAGTCATACAATTTTTTTTTTTTTTTTTACAAATAGGATGGCTAAAAAAAGAAAAGTAACAAAAAAACAGGTAGATTCTAAGGCGAATTAATTAATTAATTAACCGGAAGTGTGCATGGATCTTTCTAGACCAGAATGCATCGCAAAATACCGACTGAGCATGCGCATTAGTAACTTTCAATGCCACGCGCAGGGATGTGCGTTTGTTTATGAAGGTTGATTGTCCCGGATGTGCTTTACTGTAGCCGTGCGGAGACTAGGAACTTCAGTTGTTTTACAAATTTGTTTACATTTACTCGACTTTACATTTTAAACCAATTTCCCGTTTATGTAAAACTTTTTATTTTATTACATTTTTATAAATACGTTACAAAAAACCAAACAAACAAAAAAAAAACCAATCCGGTGTTCAAAACATGAACAAGTTTCTTAAGGGAAGAGTTTGTACAAGTTAAAAGTATCTTAGGCTTGTTTGTCGGTTTCTACTTTTTGGTGTCCTGTTATGTAATCTGTTGCTATGTGCTTGCTCTGTTTGTCCCTGTACAGCACTTTGGTGTGCTTTGTCACTGTTTAAAGTGCTTTATAAATAAATTGGTATGGTATGGTTTGTCTTGTTTGACATCCTAACCAGTCTTCATATGGGGACATTACTTTCCCTGCATTATAATTCCTTTTCAATTTAGTCTGTTGTAATTTTGTTATCTTTTTGTCTTTATTCGAGTTTAAAGTGAACTGTTCAAACACATCATCAGATTGTGGAAATTTAAAATGCACACTAAGCAGAAGTTTGGGTTTTAGAAAGTTAAACTTGTTTCACAACCACCAAGCCAGGCTGCAGTAGGTGCACGTCAAATCAATGTCTACAGCCAACATGAGCAGCTCTCATCGAACAGGTACTGTGATGATTGATAGCATTATTATTAACCTTTATTTAACCAGGCAGCCTAACATGATCTGTGGGAGGAAACCCACGCAAGCACAAGGAGAACATGCAAACTCCACACAGAAGGACCCCAGGTCCTACCGGGGATTGAACCCAGGACCTTTTTGCTGTGAGGCAGCAGTACTAACCACTGAGCTGTAGTGCTGCCTGGGAACTCCACAGCAGATTGGTTTGAAACACATCAATAAGGTGGTACTTAATACGACAGATCCTGTTGGCAGGCCTCAGACTGATGAAGTCTTTTGGATGAAAGACGAAACGATTCTTCCATAAAAAAATTAAAATAAATCTCCAGATGACGATTTAACTTTTTTGTGATGATCTTCCATCCAGCTTTATCTGCTTCTTCCGTTTCAGGTCATGGGGGTCACTGGTGTCCATATCCACTGGTCATTGTGCAAGGTGAGGGACACGCTGGACACACAGTCCATTACAGGGACACATGGAGACAAATGAGACAATCACACTCTCTCACATATCTACGAAAAATTTATTTAACAATCAGCCTAACGTGCAGGTTTTTGGTCTGTGGGAAGAAACAGGAGTATCTGGAGAAAACCCACACATGCACGGAGAGAACATGCAAACTCCACCCAGAAAGGCCCCTGGCCAGGATTTGAACCGGCAACCTTCTGAGAGGCAAACGGTCTTCCAACTGAACCACATTACGAACTTTAAATGTTAATTTAAATGTTAATCAGAATTAAAGTGCTTGCTCCTGGCTGAGCAATAAATATGGAGCAATTGAGCTTTTGAATTTGCTCCCAGTTTTTAAATATTTAGGCTAAATTATTTCCTCTCAAAAATCTTTAAAAAACAAAAAATACAATATTGGTGTGTTTTAAAATGGCCAATTTCAGAGACTATCAGATGAAATCTTGCTTCTATTAAACACTTAAATAGTTCGGCATAAGTAATAAACTGAAGTTTGATACAGTGGTTGGTAATTTTTTTTTTAAGAAAAAAGAAAAGCTAGCTACTTTTGATAAACTGTTCCCACTGTTTGTAGTTTTAAATGAGTCAATATAAAACTTTAAATTACTACTGTAAATATTTATTGAATTAAATTCAACAATGTAGTAATCTTATATCTTATTGCCATCCATATTTAAGAACAAACATGTCTTCTCATCTTGTCCTGACATTTAAAATGAGCAGTTTCATGCAGTACATTCAGACATTAATTGGCAAAAAACAACACAATTGTAAATCAAAAGATTTATTACTACAAATTAGGTACAAATTTGCTTATTTGCGTAGTTCTAAAAACAAAATTCAATCATAAACTGATTTGATCTAAAATGGCAGTTAATTTCACAATAGTTTCAAAAATGTGACACGACAGAAAAAAATGCCTCTTGTTTAAATCACAGTGACATCCTAAAATATCAAAATACAAAATAAACTGACCTGACAGGTCTTGCTATAAAATTTGACACCACTTACAAGAAGCAATAAAACAGAAAATGTTGATCTGTGTGCGGGTGCACTGCCATTTCCAACTGCGAAGCTAAAGTTTGCAGAGTTTTTCTGAAACGTGTTATTCTGCCACACAATAGGTGGAAAACTAAGCCAATTATTAAAAAAAAAAAAAAAAAAAAAAAAAAACCTAAGCTAATGATTGTTTTGTGGCAGGCGAGTGGAGTGTAGCGCCCTCTAGTGATAAGGTTTCAGCTCAAACCTGCAAGGAAAAAAAAAAAAAAGCTGTTCAAATACAAGCTTGCACTCAAAATGTAAGCAGCTGGAACAGAACAGTGCATGGACATTAAACACTTAGACTAGAGAAGCCTGAGCACAATTATAAACCTGCGATATGTTTTACAGAACCATTTAACTGCAACGTGTCCTGGTCATGCTTGATATACATCGTGAACAGGCTTGTAGCACACATTACTCACTTTACCTTTGGTTTATTTGGGGATCCCAGCCACTATCTCTGATTCAATACCACAGTGATTTGATCCACGCAGGATTTTAAAGAATCCTGAAAATTAAAAACATACAACATTGTCATTTTTTAACAGTCTGTCAAATTAAAACAAGAAAAGGCGTGTGCAAAGACGAGTGACGCATAGGCGTCGCAACCATTATATGTGAAGGGGACAAGTCCCCCCCCCCCCTTAAAAAAAAAAAAATGATTTTGGCCCCCCCCCCCCCCCCCACTTTTACTATAAAACATCAGTTCAGGCAGCGCAGTTTCCCTTTCTTCGTGAACAAATCCATTCCACTTGATTTCAAAGGAGAATACTCAAGCCACTAAAACTCCATTCCAGGTTTTCCTGGTTACCTCCAACTCTCCACCGTCCCTTCCTGCCTTGGCAGAAAACGCGCACAGGTGGAGGAGGTGGAGGTACCTGTGTTACTCGCTCGCCAGTTTAGCAGCTTAGTGCGAGCAGTGGTTGACCAGGGGGTTGATCATAAACTTATATTCATTTTAGGAGGATGTTTGAGAGGAGCTACGTCTGTAGCATGTTAGTTTAGCAGTAACTGTGACGCTGTCAGACGCTGCAGGTGTAAGAGACGCTGTGTGTTCAGGTGCATTAAAGTTGAAGTGTCTTTAAAACCCCACACCTTATTGTCCTCAAGCTTCATGAGAAACATCATTTAGACGAGTAGTGTTGAACACAAGTAAAAAAGTCCATTGGTGATGTTTTTTATTTCTCTATAAAAACACAAATAGTGCTGATCTGACGCTCTGTATTAAAGTGTATTAAAGTTAAAATGTCTTTAAAACCCACAGATGAATTTACACAAACTTTGTGAGAAACATGTTTTAAATGTGTGGAATTAAAGAAAATCTAGGTGAAATGCTGCTTTTTTGTTCATTAGTGAACACCTTTTTTTACGTGCGGACACACGTGCACGCGCACACACACACCTACATAAATCATTGTGTCCCCCCCACATTACGGATGCTTCCGACACCCTTGGAGTGATGCCTAGAAAAGTTTCGGTCCTAGGTGACAGGACAGACAAAGAGCGATTCCAAAGACTTGTATGGGGAAAAAAATAAAAAATAAATCATGGAGCTCAGTGTCCCTTGCCTGGACGTGGGTTACTGGGGCTCCATCCTGGAGCCAGGCCTGGGGGAGGAGGGGCTCGTCTGGAAGCGCCTGGTGACCGGGTCTCTAGCCATGGGGCCCGTTCAGGCTCAGCCCGAATGAGCAACATGAATTTACCTTGTTTGGGTTTACATGTAGCCTCTCAACTTGGTGCCTGTGTGTTGGGAGTTTTCCCCGGTAGATGAGAGGGTGGCTTCCCTGCGCCTTCGGGTGGTGGGACGGACTCTGACTGTTGTTTGTGCCTATGTGCCAAATGGCAGTTCGGAGTATTCAGCCTACTTGGAGTCCTTGGCGAGGGTGCTGGAAGGTGCACCAGGTAGGGACGCCTTTATTCTGCTGGGGGACTTCAATGCACACGTGCATAATGACAGTGTGACCTGGAGGGGTGTGATTGGGAGGAACGGCCTCTCTGATCAGAACCTGAGCGGTGTTCTGTTGTTGGACTTCTGTGCTAGTCATAGTCTGTCCATCACAAACACCATGTTCGAACATAAGAGTGTCCAAAAGTACACTTAGCACCAGGACGCCCTAGGTCGTAGATTGATGATTGACTTTGTAGCAATGAAGTAGATACAAAATTTAATACTTTCGCTCACCATTGTCACCCCAGTCCGTGTTCCAGGAGTTTGCACAAAGCCAGTAAGGGACACCGTTCTCCTGCCCCCAGCCCAGGATCTTGATGGCATGTCCACCAACAGCAGAACCAGACACATGCTGATACACACCTGGGGAGGGGAAAACAAAAGTTGTGCCAACAATAAGGTCCACTTTACATCACCTTGTGCTCCACATACTGAGCTCAAATCTTTAAAGGACACGGTCTTACCAGACTTGTACAGAGGAAAGTCTTCATAGACGGTAAACGCTCCCTCTACTGGACCGTTTTTGTAAATCTCAGACTGAATCTCAGTTTCATCTGCCTCCACGCTGTAAGCCGTTTTACCTGCAACAAACTCAGTTAAGATTCTGCATGCACTTGTACTTTAATTAAAAACACAACAATCTGTACATGAATCAATCTCAGGTGAATATGCTCCAATAGACAGCATCAGCATGCATATTTATGGAAATGACCCACCTCCACTTTTGTCTTACCATAGTGCTTGTCTTGTTTGTAGCTGGGTGTGTATCCAGATTCACACTTGCTTTTGCACGAAGGTGTGTCACCACCCTCCCCAGTGCAGGAGGGTCTGCTGCCATTCACATGGTGCTCACAAGGTGGAATGGTGTAGGGTCTGCAGCCTGCGGACAGGGTCAGGATTTGTCTAACTGTACTTTGAAATCAGTTTCCTACAGCATGCCAAAAGGCAATTCCGATACACAAAATCATGTTCATGCAGATTTTAAAGGGCCCTGCATACTCCATCTAAAGCTGCAAAATCGGCTCTCATTGACGTACAGTATGTGTGATGAAAACTGTCATTTTGTTCTCAGAGTAGCTTCACAAGCCCTTTCGACAAGGTCCGGGCCGAACTTTCTCACAATTTAAAACCATGATCTTCACAGAAAGCCTCAAATGCACACTAACCAATATGAGAGTCGTAAAGACCTCCAGTGACCAGCCCGTCTTCGGTCCAGTAGGTCCAAGCTGCTGAGGGGTAACCGCCATTACATCTAAAAAAAAAAAAAGTTTAAAAAAATGAAACAGTAATTCACCTAAAAACAAAACATTACAGTTCTTAAGGCACATACAGAACAAAAAGTTGACACATGGCTGCCTCTTACCCCATGCCACAGCTGTCGCAGCAGCTCAGCAGATCCTCAGAAGAGATCTCCAGACTGACAATTCCATTGCTGTGGATACAAACACGGTCAGACATGGCCTCTGCAGCACCGAACGCCTAGAGGGAGGACAACAACGTGAGGTTAAGTTTAGGTTTTCTTGGGGAGAAAACAAAAATGTGAACCATTTGTCCCCCTGCTCACCCAGCAGGATCCACAAGAGCCCTGGTCTCTGATTTCCTTTAGAGTGGGACAGTTAGGCCACTGCTCTCTGGCATCAAACTGTGCAGGCAGCTTCAGACCTCCCCCATACTGAACCCTGCATGGACAATAAATTTGTATTACTGTATCATTGGTGCAAAACTTTTGTTTGAAAAATGAACCGATATATTGGTTTACTTGGAAACATTGAAATCACGCATTCAACCTTTATTTAGACGGGTTAATCCCATTGAGCCTCGAGGACTCATTTACAAGAGAGACTTGATTTCTTAACAAATAGTGATGACAGCAATGGATAACAGTAACAATAGACAGTCATAAAACTGGCATACAAATTTAAGTTTCTCTCTCTCTTTTTTTTTATTTTTATATAAACAAATCGAAACAAAATAGCAACCAAAAGGACAATCAAGAGGAACAGCAGCAAAAAAACAACAACAAACAAACAAAAAAAAACAGTTAGATCAAAAGGCAATTTAGAAAATTAAGTCAAAGTCAAAGTCACTTTATTGTCAAAAACTGTAATATAAGTAGTGTAGTGTAATATAAGCAGCAGTGTGAATATAAACAGTAGTGCAAATGTAAACAGTGGTATGAATATGAACAGTAGTGCAAATTGAATGAGCACATGAGCATGTGTTAAGTGTATAACCCATTTTTTTATGATGCAGAGTTCAGTGTTAAAAAGTTTTTGTCTTGTATGGAAATGTATGAAAGTTTAATGTGTTAAGGTGGTACAAGAGGGAGGGGAGGCAGAGCAGGCAGAGAGTTCAGCATCCTAGCTGCCTGATGAACAGAGCCGTCTCTCAGTTTGCTAGTTCGAGCCTGGAGACTCCACAGTCTCCTCCCTGATGGCAGCAGGCTGAAGAAGCTGTGTAGTGGGTGTGTGGGATCACCCGCCATGCAGAGGGCTTTCCGAGTGAGGCGGGTGCTGTGTAAGTCATGTAGTGAGGGGAAGGAGGTGCCAACGATCTTCTCGGCTGCTCTCACGATGCGCTGGAGTGTCTTGCGACAGGATGCAGTACATGTACCGAACCACACCGTGATGCAGCTGGTCAGGACACTCTATGAAAACAGGAACATGTCTGCATTGGCTTTTGCCAGGTGCTTAACAGGGTTTTAAAGTCACTTAGAGAGATCAGGGTCGAGAGCTTCAGATCTTTTTGCAAGGTATTCCAGGAAACAGGAGTGGAGTAGAAGGCCCTTTTGCCAAGTTCAGTCCTCACTGAGGGGACACTGCAGGTAATAATGTCCTGAGAGCACACGCTATAGTTGCACTCGCGCAGAGACGTGTAGGAGGAGATGTATGAAGGCAGCGGACCGAGAAGTGAGTTAAAGATGAAAATGTACCAATGGAAGAGTCTGTGTGAAGTTAATGATGTCCAGTTAACCAGTGAATACAGGGTGCAGTGGTGGGTACGGTAGTTACAACCAGTTATGAATCTTAATGCACCGTGATAGACAGCATCCAACATCTGCAGAGTGCTTGTAGGGGCGTTCATATAGATAATGTCACCGTAGTCGATGGAGGGAAGGAAATTCAGTTACAAGGCATTTCCTAGTGTTCAGAGTTAAACAGGATCAATTTCTGAAAATGAAACCCAATTTAACTTTCAGTTTCCATACTAGGTTTTCCACGTAAAGCTTAAACATAAAGAGATGCGAGTCGACCAAGATACCCAAATATTATAGGCGTCAACAAACTCAATAGGGACACCATTTGAGGATAAAATCAGAGGAAGGACTGATGGGACCGACTTCCCGTTTGAAAAAAAAGCATCCCTTTGGTTTTATCGGCATTTAGGACAAGTTTGAGGCGGAACAAATCTGCCTGGATGATGTCAAAGGCGGATTGCAAAAGTTGGAGAGCCTTAAAAGCTGTTTTAGCTTGACAATAAACAACCGTGTCATCAGCATAGAAATGTAAGGAAGCATCAGGGATGCTCTGACCTACATTACATATGTAGATTGTAACAAGGGTGGGACCTAAGACTGAGCCTTGTGGTACACCATTTCTGACTGTTAGATAACTGGAGGAAATACCATTATGTTGAACACATTGCCACCGATCTGAAAGATAGTTTGAGAACCAACCAATGGTACGATCTGATCACTTAGACTTGTTGAAATGAACGAGACATTAAAAAAAAGTACATTAGCAACATGCACAGTTCTGTAAATATTCCACAGAAATGTGAATCGATACTATAGCACTCACATGGTTTTCAGTTTAGGTCCTTTCAGCAGTGTCCCACAGAGCTTCTGGACATAACTGTAATCAACATTATGAAAGTTGTGGCCAGCCTGCAGGACAGAGAGAAGATTTAGTCAGAAGTACGGTACTTTTTCTACTCCAACAAAGTTAAGTCAGGTCCTCTGGACGGTTTCTTTTTGTTGAAACGTTTTGTCTTTCATCCAGAAGACCTCATCAGTCTGAGACCACTTTGGCCATGACTGCCACAAACAAGTCAGTGGGGGAGAGGGAGGACTCCAGAAACCATCTAAGCACCATCAAACTGGATGACCCACTATGTTAAGGTGCTATTTATAAGACTGAGTTTGTTGTGACTCTTTGGACTGATGGTCTTTTGGATGAAAGACGAAACATTTCAACAAAAAGAAACCGTCCAGAGGACCCGACTTTTGTTGGATTTTTCTACCAGGATTACTGAGGATGAACTTTGATACATTTTCTACTCTTAGAAGTTGGAAGAAGGGAAAAAAGGAAAGAAACTCACCTTCCAGGTAGTATTGACCTTGTTGATGTAGTTGATCATCTCATTAGACAGAGGGTGTAAGCGGGGCCTGGTCAGGCTCACTGAAAAGCTGGCAGCCAGTACAAACAGGACCGCACGCCACATTCTGACTGAGACAAGACAATGACACAATTATACACTGAAAACATAAACTGTGTACTGCAGTGCATCTTAATACAGATTATCACAGCTGTAGGAAAATACTTGGATTTCTGACCAAAAGTGTTTACAATGTCTCACAGTGAAATGCATCTCTAAAATGTGTAATGTTTAACTCATTAACTAATCTACTCTAAAATAATTGTACTCTGGAAGGGGGGGAAAAAAAATAAATAAATAAATAAAAACACTGGTATTGGGACAGTCCTATGCCACACACACACACACACACTCTCCTCAAATGACTGAGCCAGCAGGGAAAAAAAAAAAGTTCACAGCTGACTGAACATCTTCGTGGCAGTTGAACCTAAAAGTGTAACATGCAAAGAACAAACTAAACCTCTCATGTGGTCAAGCATGCTTTTCAAACCTTAAAGTGCACAGTGCAGTGAATGACGACATTTGGACGCAAGAAAAGTGCAGAACAGCATGATTTTTAAACTAAATATCAAAATGAGTTCTCATTTATGTTTGAGAAAATAAAGTAAGCACAAAATAATCGTTAGTAGGCCTGTCACGATAACAAATTTTGCTGGGCGATTAATCGTCTCAGAAATTATTGCGATAAACGATAATATTGTTTGAAATTTCACAATAAAATCAGTAATTGTCAAATTTAAGAAGAAATGTTGGTTAATTTGTGTGTAGTACATTTTTTCCAGTGTCTTCAGTAGAAAGAAACACAAAGAAATGATAAAGCCGATAAATGAAAATGAGGTTGACAATTTTCATTTATCATGTGATTGATTGATTTATTGCGACAGGCCTAATCGTTAGCACACCGATAACACTTTAAAAACTTGGGATGTTAATGCTCTATAAATCCAATCACTTCCATAAATTCATACCTACTGCCTTTAAATCAGGTTCTTAGAAAGCACTTAGCACAAACGGGACATTGGTAAAACACTATATTGTCCTGATGTTGGTGCAAACCCGTTAAATTATTGTGTAAACTGCAACAAGACGTTCTAAACAATCTGAACAATTCTCGAACATCCGCAGGTTTATTTAGTAGCTTAGTGGACGCTGCTCTTTTTGGCAGGCTGCCACAAACGTTCCAAGTTTTTGTTCAGCTCTAGTGGTACGACACACCTGTTCAGGCATGTCTTCCTGGAACAGTAACTACATTTTTTTTTTTTTAAAAAGGTATCGGGGAAACATTTTACATCACATGATTGAGGCTCACAATAAGTACACAAAGGAGAAGTAAAAACAGATTTTTTTTTGGTTTCCTTTTTTCTGAAAAACCAAAGTGCTTCTCAGACTTTTGACTGAGCAAAGAGAGTCTTTTGTAAAAGGAAGAACATTTCTGTGGTTAAGGTTTCAAACAGAAGTGATAAAATCCAAGACAACAACAGCCTTGTAGCTAAAACAAGGTTTAAAAAGCCCCTTGGAGAAGTGAAACAACAGCCTGCTGGCAAGCATTTTTCACTTCCCTACATATGGCTGCTCGTCCTGAGCATAGTTGCCAAGTCCGCTTATTATAAGCGACTTTGGGCTTGTTTTCTTTTTCTAAAGTCGCTTATAAATTTTGTGTTGCGGGTTTTTTGGGGCTTGTTTGGAACGTTAAGTCGCTTATTTGGGCTTGTTTTTCTGTCCAAGTGAAAGCAAAAGATGAGTGGTAGGTAGTTTGTCCCTTCACGCCCCTCTTCCACGGATGTTACGTTCAGGTGCAGCTGGTGCTGCAAAGATTTCATTTCAACCAAGGAGATGCTTGAGGCTTTAACAGTAACATGTACTCTGTGGAAGTACAAACAAAAACAGCAATGATGGGGAAGCAAGAAGGACAAGGAAAGAAGATGGTTTCACACTTTACCTGTTTGAGTTGACTCGTGTGTGTCTGCTTTTAAACAGAGTTTAAAGAAAGTTTTTTGTTGACTGCGTTTACTATGTTTGTTGTTAAAAAAATAAAAAAAGTGTACACATCCTTTATGATTGTCTATTGTTGTCGTTGTCCACTGTTGTCATCACTCTTTGTTTAAAATTCAAGTCTCTCTGGTAAATGAGTCCCCGAGGCTCAATGTGATTAATTAAAAGGTTGAATTAAGGTTACATATACAAAATGTTTTTTTTTTTCCCAGAGTGTAAAAGTGTTGAGCATAATTTTGCTGTTTATATGTAATTCCATAATAAATATATGTTTATACTGCTTAAAAAAGAGCCTCTGTTTTACACAATGTGGTGGGTTGCCAGTTGGGCTTGTTTTCATATAGCTGGTTGTTTCTATCGCGAGATCTGGCAACACTCGTCCTGAGCCTGGTTCTGTTGGAGGTTTCTTCCTGTTAAAAGGGGGGGGGGGGGGGGGGGTTCCTTTCCACTGTCTCCTTTGTGCTTGCTCAGGATGGGAGACTGTGACGAAGTGAAGACTCAACACAATCTGCTGGCTTCCCTAGATAACTTTTACTAACTGGCTTTTATAATAATGTATGTGAATGTTTCTGTTCAGTGCTCTGGGACAACTTCTGATGTGACTTGGCGCTATAAAAAATGAATCAATAGTGTCTCAGTTACTTGTGTCAAAGCATAAACACAGACTGCACAAAGCTGCAGAGTCATCGAGGAAAACTGAGGGGGCTTTCTTCCTATGAACGTCTCGAAACCACCACTTTCAAGGTTACGTTACCCAGCAGGCTGTTTTTTTATTTTTTAACTCAACCTTTTAAAAAGGTTAAAATGATGTCAGATGTTTTCCGCCACGATGGGGTCTAAAGAAAAAAAAATAGATGAGTCATACAACCAGTTGAGAGTACCTGTTCCTCATTGACTTGGTGCTACCACAGTGATTATACAACGCTTTCAGTGTTGGAGATAATCAAAGTTGATTTTTAAATCTGGTCTATTTTGGCTACTCTTGATCAATGTGCTGAGTACAAGAGATAAAAGTTTCTCAACATCCCTCAAAGCAACCAGGTGACAGATCAAACTCCAGAGTCTGTCTGCCCCTTTCCAAGTGACAGATAAAGACTTGCCCTGTTCCTAATAACTAATGTTTTGTCTGGCTGCTCTGATAAAACAAGGCTCCAGATTCCATCTCACCGCCTTCAGGTTCATTATATATTACTGTACACAAACTCCACAGCGCGTTTATGATGGAAATGCTGCATGCCTGCACCGTCCAACAAGAGCATTACAATATTTTTTTTTTTATCTTAAAAAAAAACAAAAAAAACAAGCATTACAGTATGTATCAACATGTTTGAACGAATCTACCTCACCTTGTCCGAGAACTTCAAAAGGGGCGGAGCTTAAGATTCCTCAAAAACTAACGAGCTGTGAAAACAAACGCTACACCCTGCGCGCTGTTGTTTATCAGGTATCCGTTGTAAACACAAAAACAAGTGTTATAAATAAATAACTACATAAAAGGCTCCGCTCGGGTGCCGTATTTTGACACGTGAAACAACGGCAAACTGTCGTAAAAACCGTAGACATCAAAACAACCAACCTGTCGATGGTTCGAGCCGTGTTCGCGTCTTATCAGAGACTTCGACTCCAGCTGACCTCCCAGACGTCTGACTGCGATCCTCCTCAGCCTCTGTTTCGGTTTTATTTATCACTGGGAGCACGTGATAGGGTCACATGAGTGCAGCTCGTGATCCGAACGTCATTTCCCGCCCCTGCACCTCCTCGCGTCAGCTGGGTCACCAGCTCTGCAAGTGTCTGTGCTGGGAGCTTCAAGTTATAAGAGTTAGCTACAATACAAAATCTCAGTAGCATCTGACTTTCACATCTACCGGTAAATCATTTATTCATTCATTCAACCTTTATTTAGACAGGTTAATCCCATTGAGCCTCGAGGACTCGTTTACAAGAGAGACCTGGTTTTAACAAAGTGATGACAACAGTACACAACAAAGACAATAATAGACATTCTTAAACGGTGCGTACAAGTTTAGATTTTTTTTTTTTTAAATCTTCTATGGCATGGTGTTGCCCTCAGGCAACAAACCACTATTTTTGGCCCACACAATGCCCCTTTAATTTTTTTTTATGTAAACATAACATTAAAAGTCTGATAATAAGTCTGTGACCAATGAAATTTGAGCTGGGCGTGGCTTTGACCTTTCATCTTGGGGTGAAACGTTGGTCTGTAACCCCAGATTCTATGAGTATAAGCGTAGCCCTTTAAGGCTGTCGCTGATGGGTTTATCCCGTTATGCGAAGCATTACACTGAAAAATTTAGTCCACGCCCACCTGCTGTGTGGGCCCCACCCGGTCCGTATAAATTACGTTAAGAGCGGGTAATCGGCTCCCAAATAGCTTTTTCTTCAGCCATTTAGGAGCCAGTGAGGCTCGACGCTTAAAGGGCTACGCCTATACTCATAGAATCTGGGGTTACAGTACGTAACCAACGTTCTATTTCGTATAGGCTTCGCCCTTTAAGGCTGTCGCTTAGTGGGTTAAGGGCGAAGCGGATGTTGTCCTCGCCTCACTGGGTCCATTCGAACACCGTATGAAGCAGAAGCTTGACCAAAAAACGTCTTGTCACTCAGCTCCCCATGTGCATAATTATGCATTGCGTAATTATGTGTGCCATGCACAGACGAATGTTGTGTAACTATGCGTTCTGAATGCATGCATGCCCCGGAAAAAAATTCAACGGGGAGGGAAAAAAGCTGAAAAGAGCCATGAACCAACCGGTTTACGGCTGAACAGATTAATAATAACAGGAGAGCTGATTATTAATCAAATGAACTGATTGGTAACAATAGTTGTGAACTGATTAGTGACAAGAGAACCAAAATAACAATCACAACTTGTGACTGATAACAACATCTCACACTGTAATGCATGCAGACAGATGTGAGTAAAACGGAGTTCCATGAAACAACAATATTCATTCTGTAAACACTAAGTACAGAATGTGTCATGGAACGAGCCGTCACATCACGTAGATAAAAGCGAATGAATGAGCAGGGTGTTGACCACGCGGCTACAGTGCAAATGTCCTGCATTGTCATACCATTATGCAAGGCGGTCGAAGATGCGATACCCCTGATCGAGTGTGCTCTGAGGTTGACAGGAGGCTCTAAATCTGATCCTCTGTAGGCTTCAGAAATGGCCTCACACAGCCAGTGTGACAAGTGCTGGGTGGATAACGGGCGACCTGCAGATGCATCTCTATAATGCACAAACAGATGTTGAGTTTGACGCATTGCAGCTGTGCGCGCTATGTAACACGTCAACGCCCGCACCGGACAGAGAAGATGGAAAGACGCTTCTTCTTCTGATCTGTGGGGGGAGGGGGAGAAAAACCCCTCCAACAATATTGCTCTTGATTTAAAAGAGCTTGTGATGTTTTTAGGCATAAAAGCTGGATTTGGTCTTAAATCAGCTGAGCTGCCGTCAGCCTGAATTCTGAGACATGATGGCGCGACAGAGAGGGCAGATAAATCACTCACTCTCTTAGCGGATGTGAAAGCCAGCAGCAGGGCTGTTTTAAGAGACAAGAATTTAAATGGAACCTGATCCAGAGGCTCAAATGGAGCTTTGATCAGAGCCTGCAGGACCAGCGTTAAATCCCACTGTGGAACAAGTGGGCGTGAAACAGGCCTGCGTCTTTGTACACCTTTTAGAAAATGCTTCATCAGCGGATTATTAAAAACTGTTCTGTCTCCGAACCCTTCGTGGCAGGAAGAGATGGCTGCAGCGTACGTTTTAATCGTGTTGGACGCCAAATTTCTGTCTATCAGCTGTTGTAGAAAGGACAGCATGCCACCTAGTGGACATGAGGTGGCCTCTACACCCTTCTCTGTACACCAGCGCTGAAAAGCTGTCCGCTTTGATGTGTACAGCGCTGTGGTAGATGCAGCACGTGAAACCTGAATTGTGCGCACTACATCCTGTTGGAGACCCATCCTCTCTAAGCGGGTCTACTCAGCGGCCAGACCACAGGTGCTGGCCTATTTCTGGTTAACTCCTGATCGCTCCTCCTGCCTGGAGGAGAGCGACCTCCCTCCACGGCAGTTTCCACGGGCGCCCCGACAGCAGGCGTTGCAGGACTGTGAACCATGGTGCGTTCACGCGTTCGGGGGCCACCAGGAGAGCTGTCAATCCCTCCTCCTGAACTTGGTTCAGGAACCGTAAAATCAGAGGGGGTGGAGGAAAACGCGTACAGAAGCATTTTGGGCCATGGGCTGTGGGCAAACACATCCACCCTCAGCGGTGGTTCGTCTCGTGGGCTCAGAGAAAACCATAATTGACACCGAGCGTTTTCTCGTGTCGCAAATAGGCCCACAGCTGCTATTTCAATCTGAGTCAAAATGCTCCGTCAGAGGATGATTAAAGGTTGTTCTGTCTCCGACAACTTCGAGACAAGAAGAAAACATGGCTGTAGCATACGATAATCGTGCCGAACGCCAGATTTCTGTCCATCAGCTGCTGCAGAAAGGACGGCGCGCCCCCAAGCATGCAAATCGTTTGTGCGTTTGCTGATGCTGTGGGACGCAGCTAATCTGTGCTGTGCTCACGTTGTGTGCCGCTGCTCCGTGTAAACGCTCGGAGAGCGGGTGCACGTATGAGCCGACGTGCCCTGAAGAGTCGTGTGCGCCCTCATTCATGCGACTTCTTAAGCGAGGATTGCTGCGGGAGCTCGGATTTGACACTGGTGCGGTCAGGAAGCAGCGCGCGGCATCGGTGGGGCGAGGTTACCACTGGGCTCGTTCTGTAGAACACGTTCATTCTTGGCTGCGAATCACGTGAGCTTTTGAGTGATTCCACAAGCTGCAGTATTAATTCAGAAAACCTTCTTCAAGGATGAAGGAGCAGAGCCGCTGTGAGGCTTGTGAAACTGTTGACGCCGCGGGAGCGCGCGTTTGACACCACTGCGGTGAAAATGCGTCGCTCCTGCCGAGAGCGAGATACGTTACTGGGCTCGTACTGCGGTCTCACGTTTACGTTGACGTGAACGGCAGGCGCTGAGAGTTGTGTGCGCGCTTTCGTAACGCAGCGCCTTATAGGTGAAGGCTGCTCGTGCCGCGTGAGTGCGTGTTGGCACCGCCGGCAGTGAATGAAACAACCTTAAAAGGCTCATTCGTGATGAGTGTGTGTGATGGGCCGCTGTCAGATCATCCGTGCTGACAGCCTGGCTAAAAGACACTTCATCATAAAATGATGTTTATTTCCACATCGTGTCATCTACACACATCCAGCAAACCGACACCTGGTTATCTTCCCCTGAGCTCCGTGGTTTGTTGTCCTAGAAGGCCCCCTGTTGGCGGAGTCTGGGAAAAGTTGAACTTCCGGATGCCGGGGATGTCTGATGGGAGGGACTGGCATAGCAGAGCTGGGGAGGCATTGTGCAGCCGTGGAGCATCTTGAAATGATCTCTCGCTGATGAAGGCCCTCCAACAAAAAGCTTCTGCAGCTCCCCCGAGAGGAAGGTGGAGTGACGAGCCAGGAGAACCTCTGGGACCTCGTTCTCCAGCTGCGATGCGGGCCGGCAGACAGCAAAAGAGGCACACCGTTGGGGATGACGTCAGCTGCCCTGCAGACGGAGCGTATGTCTTTTCCTGCCTCTGAACGTGTACGCCAACAGCGTAACGTGTTGTTCGCTGCGGCCGTCTGGAACGCATGCTGGTGAGCTCAGTTGGAGAGTGGTGTCACCGTCTGGGTTACGCTAACCGGAGGCGCGGGACGCTGGTCCACCTGGACTTCTTGCTCCGATGAAGCCTCCGTCAGGCTCGGCTCCAGGGGGCACTGAGGGAATTTCCACTCGGTGAACCCCTGCTCTGGAGATGGGCACGGACTGTGGAGACCCCCCCCCCCCCCCAATCTACCAGGAAAGCCGGCTGTTGCCTCGTCCCGTAGGACGTCCTGTTGGGAAACCGAGGTCAGATGGATCAGGACGGTGAGCCAGAATGGAGCCTAGAAAAACAACTTCCCGCCGGATCATCCGAAATGGCGGAAAAGGCGTGGGACGTAAAAAAGGGTTCCTTCATGCCAGCGGCTCCTGGATTACGCCGGGCAACCCCAGACGGTGCCGTCGGCCGGGAGCAGTGTGATCGCTGATGCGAAACGAGGTGGGATGAGGTGAGCATTCGCTCAGCCCCCCTCCACCGACACTACGCTCTCCAGGGGGGAATGAGCAGCGGGGGGCTGCAGCTGACGTGGCCTGTCCCGGAGGAACCATCCGATTCGCTCCGAGGGTCGGCGATAAGAGGAAAATTACAAGATGGAGTTGTCCAGCGTGTAGCAACCTGTCACTGAGAAATACTCCTCGGCGCTTACCTTGAAACAAGACTGCTCTTCAGCTTCTCCTCGGGGAGGAGAGCTCACCGGGACGACCAGAGGTCAACGTGACGGGCCAAGCATTCTTAACAAAGGTTGGTCATCTACACAACTTTCCTTCTTCGTTCTTCTGACAGTGCTATTAGCTCGCTGAAGAAAAAATGGGAGCCAATTACCCGCTCTTAACGTAATTTATACGGACCGGGTGGGGCCCACATAGCAGGTGGGCGTGGACTAAATTTTTCAGTGCAATGCTTCGCATATCGGGATAAACCCATCAGCGACAGCCTTA